TCCTCCTCCCAAACTAGCAGGCTTATTTCTTTCCCAAGGAATACACATCTTGCCTGTTCTTTTTTTTTTTTTTTTTTTTTTTTTTTGCCATGTTTACCTTGGTTATGAATAAGCAATAAAGCTGTTTTCTGTTCCTCACCTTTCTCAACCCCAAATTCTCTTCTATGCCTTAGGTGAAGTCTTTGATGGTTATTCCAACCCTGTTAACTATGGTTTAGGGTGGCTCTTCAAAACATACAGTCTCCCAGGGCCAGCCCATGGCTCACTTGGGAGAGTGTGGTGCTGATAACACCAAGGTTTGGATCCCTATATAGGGATGGCCGGTTAGCTCACTTGGGAGAGTGTGGTGCTGACAACACCAAGTTAAGGGTTAAGATCCCCTTACTGGTCACCTTTTAAAAAAAAAAGAATACAGTCTGCCATTTGCATTACTGGCTGTGGAACATTTATTTTTAGTGTTCTTACCAACTAGCAATATCTATTAAATCCCAAAATGGGATTAAAAAAAAAAGTTGGAGAATTCACATTTATTGAATAACTGATGCAATACAAATTGGAATTTCGGAATTCCAAATAAATAAGTTTCACTTTTTGAACATTTGATCCCCTACTTTTTAGCACCAACAGACTTGGTAACAGCCTGATGCTAACCTGACAATGGGTTGACAACCTCCTACTGGCTCTTCAGTCTGCTTAATAACAAGTTCTTTGCTTCCTCTGTCATTCTCCCAGGGGATGGCCTATTGCCCTCCTTTCTGTACAATCTGGGCAAACCGACTGGTGATGGCAAGAGTAGTGTCAATGAAGCGGTCCACACAGCTAGAGAGACAATTTTCAGTGCGAGAGTCTAGGCGATTCCCTGGCTTTTCCACACATTTATCCCAGCATAGCTCCATGAAGTGATGGACCTAAGAGGAAAGAAAAATAGTAACCAATGGGGTCTGCAGATAGGCCTAACTGTCCATTTCCTTATTTCCTTCTCGTTTTCTGTCACCTGACAAAAACACCTTCAGTCAACAAACCATGGAGTCACTTTGGGCTCTCCTCTTTCTTCACTTTGTCACCAGTATAGCCCAAATCCTCATCCCTATAGACTCTAAATTCTCAGAACTAATACCTTTTATGTTCCCTAAAGCAGCTAGCACCAGTGTAAACTGGGAAGGTAGGGTACGAATTCATTCCTCCAAACAGCTGCACTCATCTCATTCTGAACCTATCCCCTAGAGAGTAGTTCTTAAGTTCTTAACCTTTTTGCCTCATGGACATATTTAAGAATTCGATGAAGGTTATGGATCCACTCCCTAGAAAAGTGAGCACATAGGCATAAAATGTGTGCACATTCAGACTGTTCAGGACCCCAAGGTTTCTAACCAGAGTTCTTGCTGCTCATCCGCGCACTGCCTCACCCCCTTTGCCCTCCTCAACCTCAATCCCAGGGAGAAAGTAACCATTTACCTACAGCTTATTTGTGGAAGGCCGGGCACTAAGTAGTCACTCAATTCTAAAGTCCTAAAAGATGGCCATCATTACCTCCATTTAAGAGGCGTGGTTAATCAATGGGTCCAAGGTCCTGCAGCCAGCAAGGGGTCACGCCAGGGTTCGAACCATGCCTTTAGGCTCCAAAACCCTTGTTCTAAACCAACAGTCTACACTGACTACTTCAGATCTCACCTTTATCCAATAACGTTCTAGTGCTTCATTTTCAAATACATTATGGCATATGATCTTCACAATCTAGTGAAGCAGTAGGCAATGGCGAAGCCAAAACTCACAGTGGATAGGTGTCTTGTCTAGAGGCACGTGGCCCGCAGGGGGCAGAGGCAGGATTAGAACCAAGTGTTCGGAACGCCAGCCAAGACAGGTCGCCGGCTAGCAAAGTTTCCGTGCTCTTGCGTCTCCCAAACCTTTCGCCTTGTTTTACACCTCCTCCTTCCCCACGCTGCGCTTCCTTCGCGGGCACCTGAGCACTACCGATCACCAGAAGCAGCAGAGCCGGGACTCGTCTCATTTGTGAGAGAAATGGGGCGCAACCGGATTCGAGCACCTGGTGGCCTCACCGAGCCGCAAATACACAGAGCTCCGCTGGTCCTGGGCCCTATACATTCACCCTCCTTTCCCTCCACCCTCCAAGGCTGGTCCCCGTCCCCACACCTGTGCAGTGAACTGCGCCTTCTGTTGTTCGGCCGCCACCAGGCGCTGTAACTCCGCTTCGTCCGCCTCACCCAGCTCCGCCATCGTTGGTAAGAGGCCAGAGGCCCTGCCGACGAGCGCGTGTGCGCATGCGCGGCGGGCCTACCGCCTCCCGACTTCCGGTTCACCCAGTGTTGTTCTCTTCCTGCGGGTTTTCTTTCGTCCTTGTGGGGTGGGAGTTGTCGCATAACTAACTGCTTCCGGGTTGGTGGGTGACCTTGAGCCCTCAGAAGCGGGATGTCGACTCTTTGGAGGTTGAGTGTCCTTTGCAGTGCCCAAGGAGGCCGAGGTGAGGGGTCCTGGCAGTCGGAGGTGTTTAGCGCAGCCTCCAGCCGGGGAAGAGAAGGGGAGTGGAGTGGGGACTCGTCTGCCGGGTGATGAGGCACCTTGAGGAGAAGAGAATCCCTCTTTCTTCCCTTGGGCCGCTCAGGCACCTGCCCAAATCGCAGCAGTGACTGCTGTTGTCTACGGGCCCACATGTTCACCCGAGCGCGTTATCTCCCCTGCTCTCGGTTGACCTGATGATGCAGTAATCTGAAAGAGAGCTCCTTCTGGAAGTTAGAGTTCTGCTGAAGCTATTCCACATAGGAGTTCTCTTTTTCTCCCCATTCACTGTCCTTAGAATGCTTCCACCCTGAATCGGAAATGGGGATTAGTAGCTGAGTCTCAATGCCTGGTTTTACCCATTTCCCCCGGTGTTGGTGCATTGGGGTTGGGGGGAGGATCAATTCGATAATCATTTAAGTGGGCATTTATGTTATACCAGGCACTGTAGTAAGGCTGGGATACAAATGTGAACAAAACAGCTCTTGCTTTCAAAGAGCTTTTTCATTCTTATAGAGAAAATACATGTAAGTGTAATTTAACATAAGCAAAAACTGTTGTGCTGTACATAAATTGTTATGGGAACCCAGAGAAGGAATGTTTTTAGCTCTGTGTTTTGGAAGGATTACGCCGTCTGTTTTGAGTCTTGGGGATATAGAAGTCCAAGGAAAGACGGGTGTTACAGTTAGAGCTACTGCGATGAGCAAAAGCAATGATGAAAGCATAGAAACTGCATGATATTCAACAAAACAAAACGAATTGGATATTATTACAGCGTGACGATCAATGTGAGAAGTGAGATGAGTCTGGAAAGGCGAACTGGAACCAAATCACAGAATAACTTGTCCTGATAAGGAGTGTGCACTTTACCTGATGTGTGGAGGGTAGTCCACACATTAAAAGGTTTGACATGGGTTTGCAGTTTAGACTGACCACTTTGGTAACAATGTGGTGAATGGCCATTATCAGAGATGGGGAAGGCTAAGACACAAATCAGGGAGACAAGATAGGATACCATCCTAATAGTGCAGGCAAGGTGAAGTCCTGAACTTGGAAAGTAGTAAAAAGAGAAGAAGATTGTCTCAAGAAATTTTTAGGAGATATAGTAAGAAGATTTGGTCGTTGAGTTTAATCAGGGAGACAAGATAGGATACCATCCTAATAGTGCAGGCAAGGTGAAGTCCTGAACTTGGAAAGTAGTAAAAAGGGAAGAAGATTGTCTCAAGAAATTTTTAGGAGATATAGTAAGAAGATTTGGTCGTTGAGTTTAGGGGAAAAGTCTTTCGTGACTTCCAGATTACTGGGTTAGGTTAAAGCATGTGTGGGGTGTCATTAAATAAAGTGGGGAACATGGAAACGGGAAACAAGTTTGGATGAGAAGGTGAGTTGAATGATGATTTCACTTTTTGGCATGGTGAATTTGAGGAGATTGTAGGTGTCTCAGTGGAGAGGCTTAGCAGGAAGTTAAACTTCTGAAACTCTGGAGAGATATCAGGGCTGGAGAAACAGATTTGGGTGTTATCAGCTTATAGGCAGTAAGTGAAACCATGAGAGTGGAAGAAATGGCCTGAGGTGGGCATAGGGAATGAAGAGAGAAATGGACAGATGACAGAATCCTGGGAAAACCAACATTTAAGAATGAATGCTAGAGGACACTGATATGGGACAGAGAATCAGAAGGAGAACTAGGAGAGAGTTCTGTCAGAGAAAAAAAGGGAGGAGAGGCTGCTAATGCCAGGTGATGCAAAATGGCCTAATAAGATTAAAGCTGAACAGTACCGGTTGAATATGGCCTCTTGGAGATCGTTGGTGACCTACCAAAGCAGCTATGGTGAGGATATAAATCAGAGTCAGAGTTGAAGAATGATTGGGAAGTGAGCAAGTAGAGATGTTTTAGACAACATTTTAAAAAAGCAAGGTTGGAAAGAGAAGGAAGAAAGAGCAAGCTAAAGAGTGCATGGGTATTAGTTACAGGACATGGGATCAAGGGAAAATGGCCAAAGGGAAGGAAGGAGAAGTTAAGGACACAGGATAGAAAATAAGCAGAAATTGCCTTTTTTTGAGTGCTGTTAATATTCTGGAAACTGTGCTACGCCTTTTGCATATATTATTTCATTTAATTTTCAACAGAGTATTGTGAAGAAAGTGCTGTTATTTCTACCTTACAAATGAGGGAAGTGGGGCTTAGAGAGGCTATTTAACTTAGTTGCCCACAGTCTCATAGCTAGTAAGTGGTACAGCTGCATGAACTTAGATCTGTTTATTTTTAACCAAGAGGCAGGATCCAGAAGCGGGCAGAATGGGATGGGTTCAAGAGTGTAAGTGGAGATGGAAGAAGGTAATAGGTGAACGTTGTGTGGGACTGAATTCATTGAGGGCAAAGACTTTGTTTTTTATTTCTCTTGCTACAGTGCAGAGCGTAATCTTGGGTGTAGTAAACGTTCGCTGGATGACTAGATGAATAAATGGAAAGAGAAAGAGGCTGCCATTTATTTTTTAAAATTAATAAGTGATTTGGGCCGGCCCGTGACTCACTCGGGAGAGTGCGGTGCTGATAACACCAAGGCCCCGGGTTCGGATCCTGTATAGGGATGGCCGGTTTGCTCAGTGGCTGAGCGTGGTGCTGACAACACCAAGTCAAGGGTTAAGATCCCCTTACCGGTCATCTTTTTTAAAAAAAAAAAATTAATTAATAAGTGATTTATTGATTCTTAAGTCTTTCAAATGGCTACTTAGTCTGACTTAACAGTAACCCAGTGAAATAGATGCTGTCATCATTTTACAGATGAGATGGTATCTCCTATTTAGAGTTAAGTAGCTTGCTTATAGTCATTTAGAAAGTCTGTCAATCCTGTTAAAGGACAGGTTCTTATGATCCCCCTAAATGTCTCTTTCCTCAGCTCTGTTTCTTCGAGCTCCAGTGGTGAGACCTGCTCATGTCTCAGCATTTCTCCAGGATGGACCTACCCCAGGATGGTGGGGAGCACAGCACATTCACCTCTCACCCAGCCGCCATTGTATGTTCTCTCCATCGCTGCTGCTTTCTGTGCTCTGGCTATCTTCACCTGGACTAATTATTATGCCTTTAGCAGGACTTGCTGCATGGGGGGTCGGAGGAGGAGGGGAACGCCTCTTGTATCCAACTCTGTCAAATGAGGACCTAGTTTACAGCTTTGGACAGACAGTGCCAGCATAGTTGAATGATGCCATTTACACTCATAGAAAACCTTTTGTCCTAGATCTTTAAAAATTTTTTAAATTTTCTTTCTTTCTTTCTTTCTTTTTTTTTTCCAAAAGATGACCAGTAAGGGGATCTTAACCCTTGGCTTGGTGCTGTCAGCACCATGCTCACCTAGTGAGCTAACCGGCCATCCCTATATGGGAGGATCCTGTATAGGGATGGCCGGTTTGCTCAGTGGCTGAGCGTGGTGCTGACAACACCAAGTCAAGGGTTAAGATCCCCTTACCGGTCATCTTTTTTAAAAAAAAAAAATTAATTAATAAGTGATTTATTGATTCTTAAGTCTTTCAAATGGCTACTTAGTCTGACTTAACAGTAACCCAGTGAAATAGATGCTGTCATCATTTTACAGATGAGATGGTATCTCCTATTTAGAGTTAAGTAGCTTGCTTATAGTCATTTAGAAAGTCTGTCAATCCTGTTAAAGGACAGGTTCTTATGATCCCCCTAAATGTCTCTTTCCTCAGCTCTGTTTCTTCGAGCTCCAGTGGTGAGACCTGCTCATGTCTCAGCATTTCTCCAGGATGGACCTACCCCAGGATGGTGGGGAGCACAGCACATTCACCTCTCACCCAGCCGCCATTCTGGTTCCAAGGCTGCATCTGTATGTTCTCTCCATCGCTGCTGCTTTCTGTGCTCTGGCTATCTTCACCTGGACTAATTATTATGCCTTTAGCAGGACTTGCTGCATGGGGGGTCGGAGGAGGAGGGGAACGCCTCTTGTATCCAACTCTGTCAAATGAGGACCTAGTTTACAGCTTTGGACAGACAGTGCCAGCATAGTTGAATGATGCCATTTACACTCATAGAAAACCTTTTGTCCTAGATCTTTAAAAATTTTTTAAATTTTCTTTCTTTCTTTCTTTCTTTTTTTTTTTTTTCCAAAAGATGACCAGTAAGGGGATCTTAACCCTTGGCTTGGTGCTGTCAGCACCATGCTCACCTAGTGAGCTAACCGGCCATCCCTATATGGGATCTGAACGCGTGGCCTTGGAGTTATCAGCACCACACTCTCCTGAGTGAGCCACGGGCTGGCCCTTAAATTTTCTTTAAAAGCAAATAGCTATATAGGAAGAATCTGCTCAGTATAGCTCAGTCACTCTTATTTATTTAGCTAATGGGTAGGAGCCTGATATGGATAATTGAGAATAGTAAACATTTGAAAAGTCATATCTTGTGGACTGCATCATGTGTATTTATAGATATAATTTACTTGCTTATATTTTTAGGTTGATTTAAAGTCATGGCATTTCCTAGATGAATACTGTTTAGAAATTATTAAAATTAGTCTTAGTAAATCTGTAGGTGGATAATTAGTTAACTGTATTTCCATTTTTGAAGTCTGGAGAGGTCAGTATTTTATAGAGATTAAAAATTTCTGGCGGCCGGCCCAGTGGCGCACCGCTACAGTGCGCCGCTTGGGAGTGTGGCAGCGCTCCCGCCGAGGGTTCGGATCCCACATACAGACCGGCCGCTCACTGGCTGAGCGAGGTGTGGGCGCGACACCGAGGGTTGCGA